CATCTGTTATCGCTACGGTACCAGTACCCTTCCAGACTCTTTTTATTCGGGGAGTTAATAAAATTCTAAATGAAAATATATGAAATAGGATTATGTCAGAAATGACATAATCCTATTTCATATATTTTAGATATTTTAGATCTGAAAAAACTGATTCGGCTTCTCCTCCTAACGTACCATCATCCAGATACCACACATTGAATTTAGAATTTAGATTTGAAATAATTGGATGAATAGCTAAACCAAAAAGTGCCGGCCCGAGTGGGTCACCTTGTTGACATCCTACGGAAGAGGACAAAAGGTGGTTTTTATAAATCAATTTCGAAGGTGATCTATAGCATTGCCATAAATATATTTAGTTGTTGTATGCATTAAAAAATTTTCCCCGCACGCATATATAGACCCAATCGATAAGTAAAAATGTTTTCCCGAATGCGCGCTCTATGGCATGCGTTACATAAACCTCTAGTATTACGCCTGCGCGTCCAAGAACCAATGAAAATACGCATTAACAGGCAGTTTACTATAAGCAATTCTTCCGGACACCTCAAACATCATAGGTTTCTCTTTTGTTGCAGGTTCATAAGTCAGACATTCAAGAGAAATTTTAAATATTTACAATTCACAAAATTATGTTTCGAATGTAATTATACAATATGTGTTCTCGACATTCAGCACGACCTTTGCTCTTTTGAAGCCTACGAAATTTCGAAAAAAGTAGTTCCTTTTATCGAAATTTCGTTTATATTTAAATTGCTGAGGTAGTTTGTCAATGTGGATTAAATCTTTAGAGTTAAAAAGACCCATTTCTCGCTTTATAATGAGATATTTTTTATCCATATACGAGTATTACTAAGATCTGATGATGGAGTCGGAAGGTAGCCATACTTCAGTAATCCAACGAAGCTTTGATTTTTGGCAAGTACTTTAGTCTAAGATAATATCCAGAGTCCGATGATGAAACTAGAAGGTAGCCATGGGAACTTAGTTATTAAGTAACGCAACCCTGTCCAGTGTGGACTCATTTGATTTGTCCATACAAATTCTGGTCCACGATATTATGAATCAACATAAGTATATTTTGAAAGATTTATTGGTTATTAGTTATTCTTTTTTTTATTTAGAAGCGGCTCAGCTAAAAATATAGTGACATAAAATTATTATAATTTAAGTAAATATCGTTATAATGAATTACGAGTATTATTGGGCTAATAGGGTAACTAACCACCACACACACGCAGGCCCAATGCAGATTCATCATTATCAAACATCATTCGCAATAAAATTATGAGTTTGAGATAATATTGTTAAACGAATTAATAAGTACAATAATTACTTATTGACTTCAACAAAACTTCTAAAGAATATTACAACACATACTATATTTTACTTAAAATAGGTGCATTTTTTTAAAAGTTAAAATTAACTGTCACTTTTATTATTTTTATTTTAGGATCTGTTCTAGAAATGCATTGAGCAATATTACCTCGCTTCAAAGAAATTTACACTCTCACTGCATAACACGATTAATATATGCGATTAGTAAGCGTGTCGCAAAAACGTGTATTCAAAGAAAAGTGAATGTTGTTTGTTGTGAATTATCGCAACGCTTTCATTACAATGTTAGTGCACGATCGTATAGTGACATCGGTTCAAATATCTTTTGCAACCGATGAGGTCGACCACGTGTTCGGAATGAGATTACGGCGCGAGGCGCGTTGCGGTCCAGTGACCGTTTTATGCAGATCGGCGCACGCAGCGCGTCAGGCGCGGGAGTACCGTGCGGGAGAGGCGGGAAGCGACCTTGGCGAGGAGCGTGGAGTGAATCACTGCAGCGAAAGTGGGAGAAATGTGTCGACGCTCCCCGCGCCCGCCGCTCACTTTTACTTTCCAGTATGGCGCAACCGACGGCGGCGCCGTGGAGCGCGCGCGCCACTCGCCCGGCGCCCGCGGCCCGCAGCGCCGCCGTCGCGCCGTAGCCCATCGCGCTCTCAACACCGACCACCGCCCGCGCCCAGTGACTGTGCCCGGATTACAGTGCTATTACAGTGTATCAAAGCCCTGGATTCAGTTTGAGTGTATTCCGACGAAAGTCAAAACCGGGTCGCCCCGATAAGCAGTTGTGCAACGACGCGCGGAACTCGAGCGGCCTCGCACTCTCCCGGAGGAAGCGTGTCGCAAGCGGGAAGTGGCGCAAGCGCCGGGAAACCGAGCGTGCGCCCGCGCGCGCTCTCACCCTGGACACCCTGGACTCCCTGGATTGCCCCCGTGACGAGCACGGATTCTCACCAGACCTAGATCCGTGGTAAGATGCCTCATACTTTAGTTTGAACGTCTTTTCAGAAGCTAATTTCCAATCACATGGAGAAAGTTAAGTTTACATCATTAAATCAAAAGGTTAAATTTTACCAAAAACATTACGAATCACAACCCATTACCAACGGTAAAAAAATAGTATAAGAACACCCACATCGGCAAAATTTCAACTCGGATGTCGGAAATGCAATAAATAAAGAAGTCAAATATCCAAGGACAATACAACTTTCAACTGATTTCGCGCGCAGCCGACAATAAAAACTTCGTAACGCCTGCGCAACCTCTCGGTCTCACTTTCGACGTCTGCGCCGCGAGGCTCGCGCAGCGCGCCGCGCGCTTTCAATGGCTGTTACAAAACCTTCGGCATGTCGAATTTTCTTTCGAAAGTTTTGATCGATAGGTGATTGACTAGATAGGATAGGCTGATGTCGAAACTCTGTTGAGATCTTTGACGAAAACTGTAGGTAGAGCTATTGTGTACATTTGTTATGAACGGTCGGTGATATAATTGAGAAACCTTGTAGTATCTCCGTGAGTACAAGCGTACGGTCATTGAGATCGGTGCTATTACAATCAGCACGTTTCAAGCAACTGTCATCATTAAGTAGAACTGAAAGGAACATTGCCCAAGGCCAGTTGAATAACGAATTTTCGTTTAATATTAATAAATGGCAGCCACGGTCGATCGTGACGGATCCTATGCTAGATGCGTTTTATCCGAATGCCCGCTCGAATAACACTTTCACGCGGACTACGATACATAATCGAGATAGCCGAAACCAATCTTTACACGATATCAAATGGATGATATAATAGGATGTAACCAATTTCGTTGGATTCAAATCATCCATATTAATGATGCAAAAGTTGAACCGTCATCGGTTAAAATTTTCGCAACAAATACTATAGTGTAACATTTAAAAAATAGGTTCACAATAAGACTTCCTTTTGTCTGCTTTCACATTATCAGTTGCTTTTCATTTTTAAAGTAATGTTTATAGATCATTGCACAATACCGCGAAGAATGCCTAAACTTTCATTGTGTGTTCCGTGGGCGGGTCTATAGCGCACCCAGTTTCATGATAAAGATCATGATTAGCAGTGACGAAAGTACAGAGTGCGAACTTTCACCCGGTGAAATGTCGCGAAAGTGGAGCCGCCCCGCCTCACTGGCTATGTCCTGATTCGTCGGATGATATTACATTTCAAAAACAATTTTAAAGCTCTATATTAATGTAGGTATCTGTCCATTGCAAATCCAAATCTTAGGAAGATGTTCAATAATTTACTATTGAACATGTCTTCTAGGCTGACTTAGAAAAATATTTAGAAATTAAATTCGACAGAAGTCTGTTATTAAATATCTTCTGTACAAATTAAAAGGTATTTAATTATAACAATCACAGAAACGCTTACTTGGTTTCAAAATTGTGGTCAATGCGCACAGTGAAATTTAACATTTTCACTTGAAACTATCACTTGACAAATCGCTGGCTTTAAAAATCAGAAACACCAGAAATGAAAAGTAATATATTTTTTTTAATTAATAGTATTCTATGACAGGTTGTGAGACTACCTTTGTGAATTGCAGCATAAAACCCATTTCTTAACTCAAAATTATGATTTACGCATTCGAATTTTACAATGATGTCGCTTCCAAACTAGTATATAAAATTACTCATATCATTGTGCTTTAATATAACTATAGTGATAACAGTGTACTATAAAATATTTCTGCCCATTTAATTTAGCGATGCCCATTGAGAAAGTATTCCAAGGTCAGCAACTCGATCCAAATCTCAATTGTGAAAATTTTGTGTCCGGACTAATTGGAAAGCAAGTTACATGGTGAATTACAAAATGAATGCTTCAGCTTTCATTATACAAAACAATGAAGTTTTGAAATATGGTAAGTAATTTCACCGAGTACAGCAATTTTGTAGTTGTCAATTTCACAAATGACCATTGCCATTGTGAAGATAACGTAATAGATTTTACAATGGATGATATGTTTCGTTTTAGTGAAAGTGAAATTGCATATCGTTAAAAAATATCGATTCATTAATATCGATAATACTGCGCTAGTTAAATTCCTAGCTGAGCATGAAAAGGCTATTGTTTTGAAATAAACATGGAAAGGTCTGCTGCCAGCTATATACCTATAGATAGTCGTCCGTAGTTTGTTGATAACGCTATTAATTTATCGAAAGATCAATGATTCCTCTGTATAATGTAACTAGTTTCCTCAGAGCACGAGGCAGGAAATGTCTTATTAAAGAATTCCTGGTTTTTCTATCCAGAAATATAAAAAAATAAAATAAATTGGATTAATTACAGAGGGGCGATATCATATTATCTATTTATAATGCTTGTGTTTCATTTAAGGTAAACGCTTGTACATAATATAGAAGAAAGTTTTCGTTCAAAACAAAATTTTTATTTTTTCCTACGCATTGAGAATTTTGGGAAACGCTATGCTATGGGTATTGTAAATACATCTGGGATTTACTAAATTTAAATTAGAGCATTATTTATCAAATTCGTTGGCATTACATAAATATTGAAAACCGTCACACAGTGATCTAACCTGAAAATAACAGATAAATTTCTCAGATTATAAACAACAAATTTACCCTAAATTGCAAGATCTAGACCTTAAACGAAATTAAAAATGTGAGATAAAACCCTATATCTCACAATTACTAACACATAATTCGATGTATTCGTTTCTCAGCTACAGCAATCTCAGCCATTTGTATCAATATATACAATGACACTGGCCCAGGGAATGTGGGAGCCTCTCACCTGGTTACAAAATAAAGTTTAAATAACAAACACTAAATTAAATTAAGACTCATCAAACAGGTAGCAATTAGCGTTATTCTCACAGCCGATCTTTGTGTTTATGCAAGAGGTTTAATATCATCAGAAGAAATTCACCAAGTTATCCAATCCGAGCATTCGTTAGACAATGAGTGAGGAAATGAAAGTGATTTTGTGTTACGTTATGGCGACAGAACAAGTTGCGCTACAATTACACTAGTTATTTTATTATTATTTTTTGTTAATATTGTTATAAGACTTTCTTATATTTGGGCTTTGTCCGTGTTTGTGTAACAGGGCTGTTAGAATAATATATTGTTTGTTACATAAATAGGATGAATGATGGATTGAAATTTTCATTAATATATTGCTTTAGATCTATTTGCATTGACAATGCAGTTTATATTTATGTTAAGGAGATGGAATCTCATTTTTTAATTATTTTGTTAATATATTTCCGTTTTAAAAATAATATTGATAATTTTTTCACAGTCGAAAATACAATAGTTACCTCTTAATTTTTTTATAATGCATTTATAATATTAAGATTATAAAAATTATTTAATTAATTTTATGTTTGTTATCGGTTATAAATTTGATTATTTATGACCCCTTTTCAACTATCTCAAATGGCTGGAGCTACCGAAATTGCGCCACAATTGAAATTTTCTCGCCCACCCACGTTAAATACGTGTTCAATTGCTAATACCATTATCAACTTTCATTGCATCATCATCACGTTAATTATATTGTTTGTCCGCGGCCACCGCTTGTGATAGCAATTTAAAAGCTATCTGTTTAGCTCATCAGGTTTTAAAGTCGTCCAATGTTTGCTAAGAGTCATCGGATGGATGCAAACATCTCACGGGCTGGTAGGCAACAGCGCTCCGGCGTAGGCGCTGGCGGTACACATTGCAACGTGCCGTTTCAAATCCAAGGTCTTTCCTAGTGGAAGAGAACGGAGTTTCCTGCGACCGCCTATCTCTCGCACACGGACACGCGCACGTGCACACACACGCGCCCACGTGTCAATTCTTTGTGTTTCAATATTTCCTAGCTACCGTTGAGGCATCTTCTTTTTGTGCCAACCACGGGCGTTTGAAGTTTGAGCCTCCGAGCGCTTCATTATATAGGCGACGGGCGATGCGCGCGCGCTCAGTTAGTGTGTCACTGGAGCCGCCGCGAGAGGTGGCCTGCAAGGACCGTGTACCACGCCGCCAACCTTTTTTTCTGTGCGTGCGATGTTTTCACTTTCGTCATTTTGACCGGGCCAGTTTGAATTGACGTCGCCCGCGCACGGACGTGTCTAAGATCGGACGTTGTGATTATCCTGTGATCGCTGGTGCTTCGGATTGTTTGTTTTTTTTTTACACATATATATTGTATGAAAATTGTTGTATTGTGCGAAATGGCTGTGATACAGTGCTAAGTAATATGTTCGATAGCGACATCCTTTATAATTTTTACAATGAGCTTGCCAATCGTAGTGCTCTACAGTTTGCAAGGTAAGGATTGTTTATTTTTTGTTTTTGTTTTTAAGTGGTGTTAGAAACGATAGGTGTAGTTGGGAGTGCGAGTATTAGGTCCGGTGGGATGGTCGGTGCAACCTTGGGTCTAATGAATGCGGTGCTCGCTCCATCCGCCTCTCGCCTTCGCTCGAGCCTCGCCGAAGAGGTTAATAGGTTCACATTAGATGGTGGTTTGCGAAATAGTATGAGCTCAGAGTATGAACGCAGCATTTCCACGCTCAGTTTCGCGCGCAATCGGCACACCGAATGAAATACGTCGATAACTTCTTCAATGTTTATATCACTACTGCCTTTGTTTATTTCTTTATCATTATTATATCGTATTTTTATTTCTATTTCTTATATATTAAAATTTAGTGCTACTTCAATACCTATATCTACTATGACGAAACTTATTCATTCCAAATCGTTAATATCAAAACTTTTAATATGTTTCAAAGTCGTGTTCGCAACAAACTTTTGTTGAGTAATAGTAAAAGCTATTTCGTTAAGTTTGCCGTAATGCAACACCTTATATGCGAACGTTGTCTAGTTAATATTATATTTTTCCCACGGTTCGGAGCGTGGCTAAAATGCTCGCTGATTTCATCTACAAACCACAACTTGCACAATTTTGTTAATGCATCACAAAAAAACTCTTGTTTTCTGAAACCGGTTTGTTATTTTAAGTAATATAGTAATCACTAGAAGAATGAATTTCTTTATATTTTTATGGAGATAATATCGATGCCTAAAATAATAAGCGATAATATTAATAACTAGGCTATGAATAGCGTAAATAAATTTGCGATAATATCCCTAATATGGAATACCGAAATTAATATGCAAATTTTGCATAGAAACATAATAAGCAATAGAATAGATCAAGCAGATCGATAAAGTGGATCGCGGATTATCTGAGTTGTTGAAAATTTACAAATTTCTTCCAATTTTGTGAAAGAATTTCAATATCACATGTTAGGAATAAGTACTATTCCACGGCACATAACATATCAGGTTCCTCTCCTCTAATAATATACTTCAAAAGCCTTTTATGGTGTAACATTCACAAAACTTCTATCTAACTAATGTACGTCAATTAACCAATCAAAACAATTATTATTAACGTAAGAAAAAAAATGCGAAAAGCGAAACAAGTTATTTTGACGTCACACCCAAAGCACACCAATTTGATATACACATTTTACCAACTATAGACGCAAATCGTTTCAGCCATTCTTTACTAATGTATCGGAACAAAAACATAACAAAATACTTGCTCGATCACGTTTACTGAAACTCATGTTGCCATAAAACACTTGGGTATTTGACAAAATTGTATTAATACAGATAAAAGAAATTACGTAATTCAAATATTACAGATATAGAATCGTGTCAATGAAGCGATGTTGGCACGAGTGGGAATAATTAATAGGACAAGTGGCTACTATACTACGCCACTTTTACTATCTAAAAGGTTACAGTTTTTATCAAACAAGTGATTCGCACATCTGTAACACTCCCTAAGTATACAGACATCGAAATATGTATAATTGTGTTCATAATAAGCAAATTCTAACACTAGTCAAAAAACGAGACATCTATTCACAGATATCTTGTAACCTTGGATGTTGAAGAATCACCAAGTTATTAAATATCTGTAGAATAAAAATAGTTATTCTATTTCACGGAGTTGAAACTTTTAAAAATTTGAATATGAAATATAGATTTGTCTTTGGTTTAAAGACATCCAATTTTAAATTTCAACTTTTCCAAAATCCAACTTTTTTGTCACTATCCTTTACTTTCTTCTTTCTTAATACTTTAACAAAGACTTCGCAACTAAATTTTCGTACATCTAAATGGTGACAACAATGTTTTGCTATCAATAATATATAATTATAATGACAATCATGATCATTAACTTGTTAATTAGAACATAAGTAAAATGCAAATTAAAAAAATTGCTATATCGGAGGTGAAGCCTGGCGACTTGTAAACATCGAGCTTTATTTTAGGCTCAGTTTCTGATTCTAGACATGACTGTTTACTTTGGTACTTGTTACCATAATTTTTAAGAACATATTATGTGGAAAAAATTTATTATTATTATAATCTTGCTTACCATTTGTAATTGACGAATTTTGAGAACCATTTTATTGTACACACACTATAAGTAAAAAAAAATGCTGATATATTCAGATAGTACAATTGGCGGTCTTATTGCTAAAAGCATTTCTTCCAGGCAGGCCTTACCGTAATCTATTGCAATTTGCCACCAGAATTAGAGTTGCCCTTTCAGTTAACCTCCATGAATATAATTAAACAACATCTAAATACATATCTTATTCTAATTTGTGTTGATGGTGTTGGGTGATATCCTTCTTTAGATTTCTGTAATTACATGTTTTTATAAAAAATTCAAATCAATATATTTTTGTCCAAAGCTATTTCCATCGCTAAACTATTGATTACGACGATAGTATGTTTGTATAAATTTACATCATATTAGAAATTGTATAAGTATTCTAAGTGTTTAAATATTTTAATCGATAAACTAAAAATATTGTTCGATGTAAAATTAATGTAATCTTCCAAGGAATAGTTGTACTAAAAAAAAAAACAAACAACATATGAATAACGGTTATGTTAATTATGATTTGGTTATGTGCTATAAACGTAATGGTTATGTAAGTGAAATTAATTGATAATCTATTTTTCCACTTTCATTAAAATGCAATGACAATGAAGAAAATCGAGACCTTTCTGACATTGGGATTGAGATTATTTACTTATTAGAAAATATGTGTCCCTGAGAAGAAGTTTAATTGGAGTTTAAAGTGCCAACTATTTTCTAATTGCACTTTCATCGATAATTTATTTAATGTGCAAATGATTATCACTTTTTAATTATGTATAACTATTACTTGTATTACAAGACGTCATAACAACTGCATTATTATAAGTGTTAATTTTGGTAGTTGCAGTAATTTTGGTATTGTAATGTTTACAAAAACACATCATGTTGAAGAAATTAAAGCAAAAAAAAAAACAGTATGACAGAATACAATGACCGCCCCATCGTATCTTGAATTTATTTTTAGCAGAGAAAAAGGACCATCAGTTTGTCCAATCGATTAATGATTTGGCAGCCTCAAACAGTACTCCTGCCAATGTTGACATTGACAATGCACATCCCTTTTTCCTTTTATATATCAATATGTATCAGTGATTCTTTCCGTGATGTGTTGAAGTCGCAGTCAACTGCTACAGCTGAAAATTAAGATTCGAAAGCTAAATGCAAGTAAGTGTTAAGAAAAGAAAACGCAAGAGTTGTAGTAACGATATCTTGTCGTGAACTGGTTTCAAGTCTCTTTATTTTAATCTATTCATTCTACTTTCCAGTTAATTTCACTATACTCTTATCAAATTAATTGTATATCATAATGACTTTACCTATTTCACTATCAAAGTTTAGTCATAGATATACTTTACTGACATCTACTTACGTTGATAGATAGAAATGTAATGCAATAGAACAAATAGTGTAACAAAAACGAGAAAATAATACTGTAACAACAGAACAGACTATGAAAAAAATAATAAAGAAATGTAATGGGATTAATCAGAATAAGTTAATATAAGAAGAATATTTAAATGATTATGTAAACAAGCAATATATACGAAATGTAAAACTTAAGATTAACATAGAATAGAAAAGCATCATGTATAATAATAAAATAGATAAACCTGGCTTACAATAAATTGGAATATAAAACAAAAAAAATAGAATAATCAGGACAGTAATAGATGCGGCAATCCCAGTCGCTCGAGGCATGAATGAGAATGAATGAAAGAAAGAACGAGTATGCAGCATGAAAGAATTGTAGACGATAGAAATAGAATGAAAGAGTAGTTCGAGAATAATAAATGCCTGCTACTAAGTGAGAGGCAATGTAGGGTTCGGCCAAAAATCTAAGGCCTAAGGTCATTAATAAAAAGCATCTTATGAAATCGATTCCAAACTATATTTAAGGCATTACAGCTTAATAAATACTTATTTATAAACTTATTCATATGGAGCATTTGATATAATCAAAAGAAATTAAATCATATACAAACCAAAACAAAACAATTAAATAAAAGGCTGGTAAGGCTAGACGACACCAACAGAAGGTAATATCACACCTTAAAATTTCATATCAAAAACCTTCGATATTCCGACTAGCACCAAAAAATTATATGATAAGAGATAAGATTTTGATTTTTAAACCGATGTTTCATCGTGTTATCTTTGAAGCCATTCATAAATTATATATTAAATTTTCTTATAAGAATCTAATTCTTTTCTAAATGAAATTTACACGAAGAAAGTTGTTCGTTTGTTTAATTTGTATACTTATTCGTACTGAAATGAGTCAATATAAAACTCTTGGTGGAATGACACCCTAAAATTATTAATCATTACTCCTAGAAAAAAAGGAAATAAACTAAATCATTCATGTCAATTCTACCTCCGATATGACTATGATTCACATATTTTTTCAATATAATAAAAATAGTTTTTACTAAATTAAAAGAAAAATAAAAACAAAAAATAAATTATAGTTAATTGATATCGACTAATGTTTGGTACAAAAAATTCTAAAAGTCACGTTTTAGCCTACTACAAATAAAATATTGAAATTATCACTATCCACTTTATCTGCTTTAATGTGTTTCTTGTTCATATTTTCGCCAATGGTTGGAACAGTTATATTTAGCATTGCTCCTGTATAAGCCCGCCCTACTTTCTCAATTAGATAACAATGGTATTTGGTGAGAAATCTTAAGATAAAGCGAGTTTGCAACACCATCCAAGCTTGTGCTGCCTCTTAAAGTCGCATGTTACTATAGACAAAAGTACATATTTCATTAATCTTCACTTATCGCTTGGATATGAAATAAAAATGGACTTTTTTCCTTAAAAATGTAATTTAAATGTTCGAAAACGCTAC